ATGGCCCTTTAGGGCTTCCGTACAAATGTATGGAAATAAAGCTTAAATTGTTTTACATTTTATTTCTGATTTTTAAATTGTAAATTAATGAATAAATGGTTAAAATAGATGGATAAACACAATGGACCGACTAATGTTGGTCACTTCTTTCCCCTCAAGTGGTATTAGAAGGAATGCAAACTAGAGCTGCACAATTCATTTGAATATTATTGAAACTGTGCAATATCTAAATAGCAGAAGCTGTTTACTTTAAATTATAATTATAGTTTTTATAATTAAGAATTCATTTATATCTTGTACTCCTTTTGAGAAGTAACAATTCGTGGTTGTACCCCAATGTCTAAAAAAAAATAAAAAAGATCATTCCCACTCATCATATCACAATATCTGTCAAAATAATCAGAATAGATAGATAGATAGATAGATAGATTTACCATATTCTAATGCAAACTGGACCGAACAGACAATTTCAGGTTCAGAATATCTGAGAGAAACAACCAGTTCACAATAAACTCACTTTACAGTAGTTGTAATAAGATTATTATAATGATTGTTCCTCAGTGATTAGTTTTTCTGTCTGTGGGTTAAACTCATGGTAGTCTAATTCTCTGAATTTGTGTCAGAATTTGCATACGGTGATTGTTAACCTTTTGGAAGTTTGCCGAATGACATTTTAAAGTGTCCTCGATGTGTGAGAGCGTTGTTGTGGAAACACGTCCGACCATTTCCACAAGCCTGAGACACTCACCGGCTCATTATCTGCAGCAACAGGCGGATCCTCTTCTGGATCTGATCTCAGGCAGCTCGCCCTGCTCCAGTTGTTCTGATTGATTTATTATTAGAGCAGCAATCTGTTTGGACTGCAGGCCACGTAGCCAGGTTCAGTTTATTGTATGTACCATTACCTCATTAAAATGTCTATAAACTCTGTGTTCAGTACGTTGTTGAGTTGTGGATATGTTAGCTTTAGCCTTAGTCTGCTAGCAAGCATGTACACTAATGAAAACATACCTATGAATATTATATTCCATAATAGATCCTCCTCAATGTTACACACTGCAGATTGACCTCAGTTGTTTAATAATCTGTGAGAGTCTCTATCTCTGCACACACTACAGGATGAACTGCAGCGCGGCCGCTGTCAGGAGAAATATTTCTCTGAAGGTGTCGGCTGAAACAAGCCGACCAGCTCTTCTTCATTTGGAGAAGCAGCAGCTCGATGCAGAGGTCCTGCTGGATCACTGAGTCCATGACCCTCTCACAGAGCGAGGCCAGCCACTTTCCAGAGGAATGTCATTTCAGCGGAGAGTGTCCATGATGTGATTCCCTCAGTCAGTTGGAGCCTGTGGGCACACAGGTGAAGGTCAAACTCAAACTGGAGAATGGGGAGCTTTGCTTTGTGACTCAGCTCTCTCTGCTCGGCCACAGGATCAATACAGAGCCCGCAACAGCTGCACAATGTGGACGCTGGGAGGGTGAAATATGTGATAATGATTTATTCATAAAATTTCACTTTGATTGTTGTTTATGGAGCCTGAAAACCAGTATTGTTTGTCTAAAGAAGAAGTTAGCTGAGTTTTAAACTGCCTCAGATGTAATACACTGCTAAATGTTCTTCAGTTTTAAATGAACAAGCTCCACCCCCTTTTTGCTCTGTGGTCCAATCACAGTTGAGCAAGCTTGGTCAACTTCCTCCTTTACTAAAGCATAGTTCTATATGTAATATTTCACAAGAAATATTTTTTTTACATAAACTTCCTTCACTTCTTGTGTTCATTATTTGGGTTAA